ACCACTTAACCATCTTCTGGGTCCCTACATTTTTTATAAAAGCTAAGGCATTTAGTTTGCTCCTAAATAATGGGGATTTTTTTAAACTTATTTTCAAAGAAATATCAAGTTGGGCCTTAATATTTCTTTGTGATTATATAATTAGTAATTTAATTTCCTTCTATTTATAATATTGTCCATTCAGATTTCTTTTTGAGTTGACTTTAGTAATTTGTTTCTTCCTTGGATTTTTCTACTTGTTCTAAACCATTTCATTTATCAGCATGCATTTGTTCATAAAATTAATTTGTAATCAGTTTTTTTCTGAAATATTGTTACTACCATTTGCTCTATTTTTCTTGGATTTTGAGATTTCTTTCTTTTTCATGGTTAATACAGCTAATTCTTTGTCAATCATCCCTTTATTTATAAATAGCCATACTTTGTTGAATTTTTGCAACAATTTTTAATCTTCTATTTCATCAATCCTGGCACTAATACTTATAGTTTATTTCCATCTTCTTGCTTTGAGTTTAATTTGCCCTTCATTTTCTTATGCCATAATATGTTTGATAAGATAATTGATTTGAGGCTATTTTTCTTTCATTATATAGTGATGGACGGCTTTAAATATCCCTCTAAGCACTGCTACCAAAATCCCTTTTAGGTTTCATTCCCATTATTTTTGCAATGTTATATTTTTACACTGTACTTTACAGTTCATTTTTTTATTTTTAATTTTCATTCTTTGAACCAAGGTTTTCAGAAATGTGTTGTTTATTTTTTATATTAATGTTTTCTGTTTTTTCTATTATTGATTTCAAATTTTATTGTATTGTGGTCAGATAAAATTATAACATTCTTATGATTACAAATTTATTAAGTTTTTTGTGATCTTTACTACTTAATGTTCATTTTGTATTTAAAAATGAAAAGTACATTCTACTTTTTCAAGTAATTGCATAAAGGGTGTTTTTGGTAGATCAATTGGTTTGCACTGTTGCTCCAAGTGTGTTTCTTCCTGATTTTATTAATGTTATTCTTTTTCACCTTCTGTGAGCTCTTATTGACAACATACACACATAATATTTCTATATCTTATAGGTCTAGAAATACTTCATATGCATGCTAATTAATTCAATTGCTTTATTATAATTTATAATAAAAAGAGGAAATATGTTCTTATGCTATCATTTATTATTTTCTTACTTTTACTAAAAGTGAACCTTTACTTTTTTGTCTGGATTTACATCACAGTCATATATTACTCTTTCAGCTTAAAGAATTTTTATCATCATTTCTTTTTTTTAATTTTTATTAGTGAAACACCATGAGGTACAGTTGTAGATTTACATCATTTCTTACAATGAAATTTTATTATCAACATTTCTTTTGGATTTTTATCTAGGAATGTAATATTTTTAGCTCTATTTTTGAAAGGTATCTCTGCAGGATATAGAATTTTTCATTGATGGAATTTTACTTTAGCACTTTGACTGTGTTTCTAACTGCCTCAGAGCCTCCATTCCTTCTGCTCAAAGTCAGTTCTTAAAAATGTATTGGTTAAAAATTCAGCTCTTGTTAATTTGTGGTGTTTACTTGTATATGAAGTTTCTCCCCTTCTAGATTCTTTAGGAACTCCCCTTTTTATTTGCTTGCTTCTGTTGAATATTAACATAATGAGTCTATCTATGCATGCTTTTGTGCTTAACCTCTTTGGAGTTACTTGAGGTTCTTGGATGAGATTAGTGATTTTGGAAAGATTTGTATATTTTCAGTTATCATTATCTATATTATAATTTCTTCTCCTCTCTCTCCTCTTCTTCTGATACTCTCGTTGCACATACATTGATATATGTAACACCTGTGTCACACAATTTCCAAAGGTTACATGTTTTTATTAATTTTTCCATCTGTTTTGTTGTATTATTTTTTAAAATGTCTCTTCAAGTTAATCAATTCTTCTGTCAGTTGAAATCTACTCGCTTGCCTCAATAGGAAAAATTTTGTTATTTATTTTGTGAGTTTTAAAAAATCTCAATATTTTCATTCAGTTCTTTTTAATAGTTTCTATCTCTGTATTGATATCTTTTGTTTGAGACAACACTATAATCATATATAATCCTATGTATATATGATTAAGCATGGTTTCCATTTATTGCACATATTTATAGTTGTTGTTTAAAAATCTTTGACATTTTCAGTTTTTTTTGCTGTTCTTGTTTTTTTTCCAAACATATCAGACTCCTGTTTCTAGCAACTCTTGAGTATGCCTCCTAACTCCCTTGTCAATATTCCTATTTTTAGTTAATTTGTTTAGTTACTAGCTCTATTTTAGGGGATTCGGTACATTACTTCTCTCCATTGACAGCATTATTAAACCCTTGAATTTTCACTTAAGAGGGACAGTTTATGGTGTCCTTAGTCATCCTAAGGTAATAGATTCTGAGGGGTACCTTTTGTCATTTTCCCTGACTGCGCCTAGCATTTAAAGCTCACTAATATGTTGATTGCATGGGTTTTTATTTTTTTTTTCAACAACCCGCTGTGACTCTTTATGAAAAAAAAAAACATAGGCTTCATTGAAAGAATCATATCTGGTCAGTGTTTGAAATTTGTTGACTCCAAAAGGGATAAGTCTCTCCGATATTTGCCCAATCTGTGAATCTCTTTCTAAATAGCTTTCACCACAGCAATCACTATTTTTGGTTGATGAATCCATAATTATATGTACAACCTACAACATCTCCCTAAGCTCCTAAGCTTTGTTATCCTTCTGCCAATTCACCATCTTTTTAGAAGCACCACAAATAAGCATGTCTAAAGTCAAATTTCTGACTTTTGGCCCACCTCCTACCAGCTCCTCCCAAGTTATTTATAAGATGATGAATAGTAACTCTCCCCTTCCATCTGTTCTGATGAAGATTGAATATCTTCTTTTGTAAATTTTGCTTTCTCTTATGCTCTAAATCCAACTCATCTGAAAATCTAAATGGCATGACTAAACATTTTTTGACTTTATAAATCTAACCACTTACTGCTTATTCCAGTTATCACAAATATTATTTAATCCTCAGGTTTTGCCCCATGCTTCGTAACTATTCCAAATACTTACTAATTTTTCTCCTTACCTTTCCCATTTTCCTTTTCAGAATGTTTTCAGTGAGTGAGTTTTGGGTAAAGGGAGGTAGGGAAGCTATTCATATCATGCCATCTCTCTGTTCTAAGCTCTCTGGTGGCTTCCCACTGCACTTAAAATGAGTCAGAGTTCTTATTAGACTCTAAAGAAAAGTTAGAACACATTTTAATAAAGTTATCTAGAGCACAGACAAAGAAATAAATCATTATAACTGGGGCACTCGGGGATCTAAAGATCTCACAGGAAAATGATTACTCTTGAGGTTGAGGATTTTAATGATGAATAAGTATTCACCAGGCAGACAAGGTAAGAAGAATCATTATTATACAACTACATGGGAAATGCAGAGGTAAGAAATCCAGTTCCCACACTGAAGGCTTTGCATTCGTTGCTTATCATGTTGTCTAGCTTTCCAGGGCTACCTCTACCTCCAATTCTATTCTGTCTCAAGTATCATGTGCCACAAAGTTTCCCCATTTATCACTTTATATATTGTTATCAGCAGAAAACTCACCGAGAAATAAACAGGTGTGCTGACTCAAGCAAGGCTAATTAAGCAGAAAATGGCACAGGGACCTCACCTATGAAGAGAAACAAAGATTATTTAAATGAAGAAAGTGCTTTAGTAGCTGTGATTCAGAAACATGGAAGGCAGTTTTATAATGCCTCCAATTCCTTATCTTCTTTTTTCTTGCTAACCCAATCCATTATTAAACTCATATAATCTTAAGGATTATCAAAACGTAATTTTGTATGGACCTTGGATTTAAAAAATGACATTTTTTTCTATCCATTTATCCAAAGACATGAAGCTATAGGAGGCATGTTTTACATACATTTTTTTAAAAAAATAAACAGAAAAATATAAATAAGATTCTTCTTTTTGTAAGCTGCTGTATTGGAAAATTCAGGCTGCCGTTGCCAAATACCATGGATTGGCGGGCTTAAACATATTGTTTGTTTTCTCGTGGTTCTGACATCCAGTAGAGTTAAAAGTCAGGGTGCCAGCAAGGGTTTTTACCCCCATTGAAAGCACTCTTCCTGCCATGCAGGTGGTCACATTCTCCTTATGTGATCAGATGACTCACTTTGGAACCTCATCTCATCAGGGCATCAGTACTCATTCCATGGTTTTTTTCAACTCCAGTTGAATCCTTATGCAGGATCTAGCTCCACATACAGACGTACTAGGGACTAAAATTTCAATGTAAGCATTTTGCTGAGAGACCAACTCATCCCTCCACATTATAATAATATGTAAATATTTTAAAGTATGACTTGATAGAAAAGGACAGCTGAGGTGCATACCACTATTTACTATTAATGAATAAATTTGACATCTCTGGGTTTGTAGCAAGTTGATTTTTGTGGGGAAAAAAAAAAGCAAGGAGAACCAGTTTTTTTAAGCACTATTGTAAGCACCTAACTCTTCTTTCTTTTGAAATAAAAATGTGCATGTAGTTATAAAATAACATCGGTGTTAAATCATCATGAGGCTTAATTTATCCTGTCATCATTGCCTGAGGAACTTTAAATACCATAGAAAAGGGTTTTTAAAAGAATTGTTGCAGAGGGACCTGTAAAATAATAACCTTAAAATTTCTACAAGAGCAAGAGTTATCTCCTTTGTCTATTGCTTTTCATATTTTATTGAATAAGAAATAGCTTAATTTAAGTGCAGCTATTTAATGTACAGAAGGTGTTAGTTCTGTGACTGTACTTGTCGACTATACTTGTCTATCATGTCTAACAGATTGACCAGGACAGAGTTGTGGAACCACCAAAGGCCTGAGACCCGATGAGGTCCCTTTCCTGACCTTCTCTGTTAGAGGATTGGTTATTAGGGGCCCCTTGCACAGTGCCAATTTTCTTCTTTCCACAGGTCCAGTGCATTTGAGGTGTTAGCTCTGGATGGAGTCAGCTCTGGGATTCTTCAGTTTTACACAGTACAGGAGAGTGCAGACTGGCTGAGGGCTGTGTCAGCAAACATCAGTGATCTGACGCTACAAAACGTAAGCACAACCTGACACTACTTTTTGCTTTGCATAGAAATCATTAAGATTTTGTATGATTTATAATTAACCTTAATGCAGTGTTACAATATTAAACATTAAAAGAACAAAACTTTACTTTTGTCCTCATATAAGATAAAATTTGAAAAAATTACAAAATTGTACTGGAAAGGTTCTTGCCTTAAAGGCAGCTGACCCAGGTACAATCCTTGGGACCCCTTATGGCTCCCAGACACTTCGAGAATAATTACTGAGTCAAAATTAAGCCCTAAGCATCACTGGGTGTGACCTCCCCCAAAACCCATAAATAAATAAAAATTGAAAATTAAGTATCTAAGTAGTTTCGAAATACAGGCCATCAAACATTTGAATACTTCGTAACTATCTATCACCTTCTGCCTTTCTTTCTTTTTCCCTCTCACTTCCTGCATTCATTTCTGTCATTTTTTCATGCACTATAGCACTGTAGCACTGTCCTCCAGTTGTTCATCAAATTGCTCAAGCGGGTACCTGTAACGTCTCCATTGTGAGAATTGTTGTTACTGTTTTTGTCATATCAAATACCTCACGGGGAGCTTGCCAGGCTTTGCCGTGCACACAGTAGCTTGCTGGGCTCTCGGAGAGGGGCGGAGGAATTGAACCCGGCTCGACCGGGCCGGCCGCGCGCAAGGCAAATGCCCTACCTCTGTGCTATCACTCAAGCCCACAATCATAGAAATATTTATGAGTTTATAATTTTATGTGTACTTTAACCACCACATCTATGTAATGTGGCATTTTTATTGAGGGAACTAGGTTGTATTTAACCAAGAAGATAAAATGCCCAGAAATGATAGACAACTTAGAAGGAGGCACACCTAACCAAAAAAGTTACTTCTAACATTTTGACTAGAGGAGTTCAGGATTGGAAAAGAGCTCTGTCTTCCTGAGTAATCTGGTTGATGTTTAAAAAGAATAGAAGAGAATATGTTTAAGAATAAGTGATATGAAATGGAGTAGAATAATCAGTAGAGTGTTAAGTTTCATAAAAGAGCAGCTGTGTGCCTACACTAAGTTGATACCACACTGTCAGTAGCATATGGCATGCCTAGCCCTGAACAGGACCTCTGACTTGCTTCTGTCTCTTCATGGACTTTCTCATGATTTCACTAGTATCCCAGTTCTATTTCTGCTCCTGGATTAGTGATTTGAGAACCTGGTTCACAATGGGACACGACAGCGCCTGTCACCTACTGCCCACTTACCTACTTCCTGCTAATTCTCCCACCATTCTTTGGATTCCCTTAGTAGAAATTCGTTGGGCAGTTTCAAATATTTGACAGCCACACAGGTTGGTTTTCTATTTCTCAGACCTCAGAGGCATTCTTTCTTCACTTATGTAAGGAAATATAAGAAATTGAGTTTTTGATGGAATTGTAGAGGTTTCTTGATGGATGAATGATAAAATAAACAACAGGCAGTGCTAGATCGTACATGCAGAACTGCATGTAATGTTAATTTTCAGTTCTAGGTGATCCTCACACTATATAGCCAGTATGCAAGCAAAGGGGAAAAAAATTCAAATACTTTGTAATATGGATCTGAAACCTCTTTCCAGCTGTGTAATTCTGGGTGTTTTACTATTATGGCTCTCTATTTCCTCACTGGTAACATTTTGTAAAATATCCACCTTGCAGTATTTAGGAAGAAATAAATGAAGAAGCAAATTTGAAAATTATAATTGCCATAGGTTATACAGAACAGAAACTACTTTCACCATTTTTCGCATGTATTGAAATTTAAGCATTTCCTGACCTGTACTTCATTAACAGAGGATACTGACATTTGGAAAAAATAATTTAGGAATGCTAATATAACCTTTTTTCTATGAGAATTGCTATCATACATTTTTATTTACGTTGGTTTGGTTTTAAGATGGCAAATTCATCATTAAATAAAAAGCTTGTTCCCAAGGACATTTCATACAGGTAATTAATTTCAGTTGCCAATTAGACAGAATGAGAAATTATGGCATTAATATACTTGTCATGGTGACTCCTTGCTTCCCTCTTTTTACAGATGAAAATGGCAAATAAATGCTGTTCTCCTTCTGACCAGGTAGGATTTGCATTGTCTGTGCAGATAATATAAAAAGTCTCTAAAAGTATTCTGTTTCTGTTATGAGATTTGACTTGAAATGTTTGATACTAAAATAAAGACATATGTAAAATCTAAGCCAGAAGTTCTGATCCTCAGTATTAACTCCCTAAAACTGCCCATTCATTGTTGAAATAGTGTGGGTGGAAACTTTCCATTTCTCTGTGTGTTGTAAATTATTTATATATGTGGTTGTGGTTTCTAAGGAAGATGATTAAACAATATAGGTTGTTTCTGCTCAGGGTGTTTATAATGGTGACTTTCTTATATAATTGAAATCTTAAGTATCCAGTAATCTTCTTAGATAACTGCTCTCATTTTGAAATCTTATCACAAGTGGAGAAGAAAACATTGCCCAGTATGAATAATCTATTTACCTTGAGGCAAATTCTCACCTTGACCCAGATGTAATAGGGTAAGGACTCTTCAAAATCCTCAGTTCACTGTTCTGAGAATAAAGACCAACTTTTCTTTTAATCAAATCAACATTTTTTATTTATCTTACATAAATACACAAAAATATATAATTACATAACAAATACATAACAACTTCTACCACAAATTCATGTTGTAGCAAAGATAGCATTTCATCTTTTCTTTTCTTTCTTTTTTTATTGTGATTTGATTTTGATTTTTTTAAATTTTATTGAATCACCGTGAGATAGTTATAATCTTTCATGTTTGGGTTATACAATGATCAAACACCCATCCCTCCACCAGTGCACATTCCCTACCACCAATATCCCTGGTATGCCCCCCCTTTCCCACCCTCCCTTTGCCTCCATGGCAGTATGTCCAACTTCTTAATTCAAGGACTAATCATTTAGTAGGACAAGAAGTAACAACAATCCATTATAAAGTTATGTTTTGGGTAAATAAACTTTTAGGTAATTTTACCCAATTTATTTTATAATAAGATCACATTGCACGAAGATTTCATGTCAGTGTAAGACTTTTCAATTTATGTTCAGTAGTTCTCTGATTTTCAGGTTTGAAGAAGAATGTATTCTATCTTCAAATTAAGAAAACTGAGGGAGAAAATGTGCTTATTTTTCTTGAAAGCATGTTTATTATATTCCTGAAATATTTTGTGGTGATAAAATGGAATTCAAAGTGGAAGACATTCAGTAGAATGACTCTTTGGAATCAGTGTTCACTGAATAAGGCAGGAAATTAGGGTCATAGTTTTAATAAAACCTCTCTAGTCATCATTGTAAATTTGAAAAGAAACACTAAGAAAAATCCTTCTATATGTAACTTTTATTTCTTATAATAGTCCTATAAGATTTAATCAACTCTTTTGTTTCAGATAGCTTAATGAGTACAATTCACAATTTAATGCACAATATATCTATAAATGTCTTCAAGTAAATATGACTCATTTCATGTTCTTAAACATAATACATTATTTTTCTGTTATACTTTGTGTTTGTAAGACATTCTCATGGACTTTTCCACTGAGAACATATGACTACATTGTTCCCCATAAAGTATACCTTCTCTGGAAAAATTTATCACTGATGGAGAAAGGATAGAACAAAATAATATGATGGTATCCAAGAATAAGTTACCATTAGAGATTGGTTTCTGTGGACAGAATCAAAATTAGTCAATTCCAAAAAAGTGTTTTTTGATAAGTCAGAGTTCTTTTCCCTCCAGTGATGCACACACATCACTCGTGACTTGTTGGCTTGCAGTGAAGGACAGTGTAGATGTGCATGTCATATGATGAAACATGTTCTGAGCAATTATCACAAGACTTGAATTCACTGCAGTTGGAAGCACCTGGAGTTTTAGAAAGTATTCTTTTTGTTTGTTTGTTTGTTTGTTCGTTTTGTTTTTTTGGTCACACCCGGCAATGCTCAGGGGTTACTCCTGTCTCTGCACTCAGGAATCACTTCTGACAGTGCTCGGAGGACCATATGGTATGCTGGGGATCAAATCCAGGTCAGCCACATGGAGGACAAAAGCCCTACCCATTGTATATCTATTTGGCCCATTAAAAGTATGCTAGAATGAGTTAATGGAGAGTGGGAGAAAGACTGCTAGATGAAATTCAAAACATATCCTGTATTACTTTGAAATTTCATGCCTCTTTATCACTGAATTATGAGAAAATTACAATTTTGAATGAATGTTTAAATTACAATTATGAATGGATGGTTAAGGAAACTTAGATCTATTTCAGGAATAAAAATCCCAACACATAGAATATTAAATGAGCTAGGATTCTAAGACCTCTGGGGCAATGGGGTAGTCATAGTTCTGCTTTATCTTAGTGGAATTTCAATAAATATAAAACCTTGCTTTTAGAATCATCCTATGTGGTCTTATCTGACTCAACCTGAGTTCACATTCCAGTCTATTTTCTGGTGGTATAATCTAAAAAATATTAATACCAGTGTCCCAGTTTTTCTACAGAAAAGGAAAGTGTAATAGGTAAAGCCATTTTATAAACTTAAAATTTCCATAACACTTTGAATTCATTTGTAGGCTTGAATGCATTTGTTTGGAAATAAATTGATATTTCTTATTTATGAGAAATGAGCCTGACTCTGTAGGATTATTAAATAATTAAACCTTGATATATCTTGAGGTGAATTTTGTAGAGGTTTGTTTCACGTTTCCTCAAAGAAGTAAGTTTTGTATCTTATGGGATCTTAGATGTATGAAAACAAGAAGTATTTTTTTTCTAAACAATTGCTGATTTTGTATGAATCAATTAAATAATATTTGGATAGCCCTAGAAAAAAAGACAATGACAACCACATAAATAGGCAGTTAAAAGAAACAGAAATGGAAGAAAATACAAGAGACAAAGAGTATAAATTTTTACATGTATATGTGATAAGTAAATTGATATTATTTGCAATCCAGACTTGGCAATTCTTTCTGGGATGACGACCAACCTAAAAGCAATACTAAGACAACAGACATAAATTTAGAATTGCCCTAGGCTTGCTAGAACATATGTCCACCGTGCTAAAATAGCAGGCAGCTCTGAGTATTTTCAAAATAAATTTCTTCTCAAAACCTTAATTAAAGAGAGATGTGGATGACTGAGTCCCCACGTCGGTAGGAAACCTACAGGACTTAGGTAATTCTGGATTTTTCTGAATAAAGGAACAGACTAACTGTATAGTTGTCATCTCATGGATGTTAAACCAATTATCTTGACTCACTGAAGTGAAAAAACTTTCCTATGGAAATGGCATCAGAAAAGATAAATGAAAATATGGTCCTTTATTATAATGGTTACATCCTCCTAATTTAATTATAGTGATACAATCAGGTAGGTGTTCATAAAATTATAATATATATTTCTTGGAACATGTATTAAGCCATTTGAAACTTCATAATGTAAAAGATAAAATTAGCTCCCCTGAAAATTATTTATGAACTACATATACCTAAATGGATTCATAAAACACCCAAATGTTTCTAATAATAGATAAGCTATTACTTATTTCTTTGTTAATTAATTCAGACAAAGTTAAATTGCCTATGGGATTTAATTAAGTTCACACCAAATTTATAGACATTTCACATTATTAACAGCTAGTATATCACCACGTTGGTCAGAAGAGGAGCCTAACTTACTCTTCAACGTGTAATTCCTATTGAACAGTGAACACAACACGACATTAACTACACACAGGGGAGAAAACCAGCTACAAGAAATTACCCAGCCCCTGGAGGAGAAAGAGAGCGGGATTAGAGGAAAAAGGGAGAAAGAAAAGCACATTTACTCCATGCTTTGGGAGTTTTGGTTCTTTTATTCTCCATCAATACCTGTGGCTCTAAATAAATCGTGTAGCTTTCAGCCTGAATTGGAATTAGATGATAAATATACCCATTGGCAGTTTCTTCTTACTTAAAGCATGCTTGCTGCTTTCTTGCTATTATGCTAGGGACAAAAAAAAATTCATTTCGGCAAGAATTTATGCTTTCAACTTTCCACTCACATATGAACTATTTGAAATGTCTGGATTTAGATATCAATATAAATCTTTGTCATCTATATTTTGTATGTTGTGGTACTGTGAACCTATATTAAATTAAGTTCCCACACACCTGGTTCCAACTTAAAGTTCATCCCTTGTGGAATAAGAATTGCAGTGTATGATTAGGTGTTTTATGAAAAGAAAGAAGGCTGAGAGACTTGGCAGAATCTCAATGTATGATTTTACCAATAAAGAGAAAACACACAGCTGGACTTATTTTGCACAGGTAAAGAAAAAATTTACTTTAGATCTCCACTGCCGTATTCTGTGTTAAATTAGCCACAAATCCAAGTTTTTGTTAGGATTTCTCACCAGAATAAAATATTACTTGTTTTATAAAGTTTAGAAACTGTCAAGCCAGGTTGTTAGGTCTTTGGAGGGGCATTTTGTTTCTACGATTTGAAGTTTTTCTTTTGGACTATGACAGTTTTCTGTGCACTCTCAACCCTTCCTAATCCAGAGGGATGAAAAGAACTTGGAGAAGATCCTTGGCAGGAAGTGGATGGTCAAAGTAGATACTGTGCTTGCTGCTGAGGAAGGAAAAGGTCCCAAGTGATGCTTTGCTGAGGTGGATCTTAAAGCAGAGCAGGGAGTGTGAGGGTTGTTCAGCGTCTCAAAGACTCCACCCCAAATGAAAGAGCTAACTTTAAAACTAGTTTAACCAACGAAAACCACTCAGATCCTTGAAGAACCTGCTGGAGGACCGTGGAGATTTTTGTTTAGAAACAAGCTTACTAGTCAGTCATCATTTGGATCAACTATTATCAGTCCCTTATACTATCACTTTCTCCAGAATAGAGGAACATAATCCCAGGCTTTGCACTGTCCTTTCAGATAATGTTCCCAGAGATACTAAATGAAGACTTTGTCTTATTTTTCAGTTGTGCTTCATTTTTTTTGGTCGACTGATGACTTAAAAATTTGCAGCAATTTAGAACTTAACCAGTTCTCAATGTTTCCTAGAGATTCTGGCTACACATATTGATGGCAATCAATAAGCAAAAGCTCTTCCCCTCCATCACCTGGATAAACAGACTAATTAGTATCTTCCCCTGGTGGTTTTTCTGTAACCCTCACCGAAACACGGTTCCTGACTGGAGGAAGAGGTCAACACTATGTCTTTCAAGAAATTGGAGCCCTTGCTCTCTGCCAGCCCTGTGGAATTGAGAAGATAGCAGTTACAGTCCTGTGTTGCCTTAAGCACAGGTTATCTTAGCCAAACCAGAGGGGAAGTGCTAGGGGAAAGTAGGAACGATTATGGACTTCACAGTGTTGCCTCTTTGCTGCCACATTTACTTCTCAAAACAAACTTGAGAATGTGTTGTGGGGTGCCCTTACATAGCTAAAATTGTGGACATGAAACCTAGCAGGCTATAGAGCAGTGAACTTCATGTTTAGAATTTCATTCCTGAAAAAGTGAGCCTACTACAGCCTCTGAATGTTGCTACAGGTCCACTAGAAGTTAGCACTATAGAATAAGTATTATTATATAAGCTCTATAGAATAATTGAAGCATCGTTTTATTGTTAGAGATTTATACTATCTTGGAACCACTGCATAGCATATCAGCTCTGATACATTTGTATTAAAAGAAAATTTCTCCATTTTCCTCTCTACCCAACATTAACTGTGGCTTCTGAGAGCTACTGGCCAGACTCAGAACATGACACCACCTTTGCCCCAAACCCTGAACCCAAACATCTACACGTCTGTTGGAACAGGTCCAAGAGTGATATTGTCCCCCAAAACTACCACTTGTCATTCTCAGTACCACGTAAAAAGAAGAAAACTAAAATTTATATCCATGTTGTTAAACATGCAGCTTTACACTTTATAATCATGATCTGACAGTATCCTAGTGTACAAAGCATTAGGATTGGGTCAGGTAACTAGAACATCCTAAAGCTATCTCTTCAGTTTGTGTACTGGAGGTTTATTTCTGAGCCACCTCTACTTTTGTTAATAATAGCATTATTTTTCTTACTACATAAGACCCCTGATGTTGAGATATTTTTTAGTAATTATTTTTTTAAATAATCCTATCTTAAACGACATAAGTCAGTATATCCATGCAGTAGTTTGGAAGTAAGTTATCACCAATGGAATACATGTTAGGCTTAGAAACCTTGAAACAAGAGCGATAGTACTATGGGTAAGCACCTACCTGGATTCAGTCCCTACCACTGTATATGATCCCCCAAATATCCCCAGGAGGAACCTCTGAGCTCACAGTCAGGAGTTAGCCCTGAGCACAGCCAGAAGTGGTGCAAACAAACAGAAAAAGATAAAAGAAATGCAGTCTCAGTTATCACAAATGCAAAACATTGCTGATCAAAATACACAAAGAACTCTTAAAGCTCAGTGATAAGAAAACCCAGCTAACATTTCATTAGCAATAGAAATGAGTGATGCCTTATGATTGATAATAGCATTGGTGCTACTATTACAGGCCACAAAAATGTTATCTGTGATCCAAACAGATGAAAGGAAAATGTTTCATAAATAATATGTAAACTATCTCCAGATCTATTAGCCTTCAAGGAGTACACTGTATTTTCAGTGGTTTTCACTAGAGTACTAGATGCCCTCAAAAAATGCAGTGCTGGCCACTGCCTGCTAGTAAGGGTTTTCATTTGTCTCAGCATAGAATTCTTGCAGTTATCATATATTGGAATATTCCATATTCTGACTAAGAAAGAAGAACACCAGAAGCTCATCAAAGATAATTGTGTCCAAGCTTACATAGGAAATAAAATTCTATGCTACTAATGAACTTATTACAGCATTAACAACTGTTACAGTATTGTAATTACTAAGTCTTCATGTTAAATCTTAAGGATGTTACAAGTTCATGAGCCAGTAAACTATTTGAGCTGCTTTTATAAAAGCTCTGTGTATCTAGGACAGTTCAGTAAAACAAATTAAAACTTTGGCTGCACTGAATTATTTGTATTCAACAGCCAAATTCATCATAATGTGATGTAGCTATTATGGCCAGGCTCTGTGAAACAATGCTCCTTGATTTGTCCTTTTCTGTCTCTAACAAAACTGTGGAAAATTGGTCTCTGTAAATCTTTATCTGGCATCTTGACCATGGCAACCTTCCATTAGGTATAGGAGTGAAAGCTGTCAGGATTTACCAAGTCCTAGATGAGAGAGGGTGTGTACCTGGAGACTTTTGGGTTAATCCTTGCCAGGCAGCTTCTCTTCAGAGCACTTCCCATGAGTACCCTGTTCACAGACTTGAAGGGTGCCCTGCCCCCCAACCCTGGCACCCGCCAACCTGAAAGCAGTTTCATTTCATAAAGTGGTTGGCACATCTATGATAATTTAATTTTGCTTAAATGCACAAGTTGTTTTAAATAGCTAGTGCCTAAGAATTTGTTAATTGGTTTTTCATAACATGGCAGAATGAGAAAATTAAAATGAAATTAGTCTTACCACTTACCACAAAATATGTGTCACATTTAAATCTTAGGTAAGGCACACAGGGATTTGAGCTTCATATGTCAGCTAGAATTCATGCACTGAATCCTTAAGTTGTATTGCTATTTCCATTAATTTTTAATCACATTCTGATTTGTGATAGTGTACATTTTGTGTCACAAGATTAAAAGATTCAGTGCCATTTGTAGGTGCCTAACATTTTTTGTTTTGTGTTCACAGTCATTAGGAAATTGAACTTTAAAGAAAATAAACACATGAAGTACATGTTGACTATACAAATGGAAAATATTAATCTGCTGTTTTTCTAAACTCAAAGACAATTTGAAATATTGCCATCAAATAGAATGAATTTAAATAACATGCTTGTCAGGACCATGTGGAATATGCAGTGCTTTTACACTTGCTAAGTCAAAACTAAAACTTCCCAAAAGCTCATAATAGACTCTGGCTCAGTACAAAGTCTTCATTGTTAACTCTGGAAATGACACAAGTGTATAAGGACTACTTGATTTAGAGGTTTGAAAATTGATCTAGACCTCTCAGGCCCTGAGTGTGTTGAATATGTGTGCTGGAGCAATGGAGGACTACTTGTTTGTTCTTTCTACCCTGTGACAGTGTGCTCTTAGTAAGGCTTGGTGTTTAATTTCAAAGGTTTCCCTCTGCAGGTTGTGCATATGGGGTGGGTCACTGAGAGACTCGAAGGTGCCGGCTCTTCTCAAACCTTCAGATCCAAGTTCCTGGCCTTGAAAGGCTGCTCCTTCTACATTTTCAGCACTCCTCCGGTAAGGATGTCCTAAGGTTCCTGGGGAGGGGCTGATCACAAAATGCTTTGCGTAAGAGGCAGAGAGGTCAGACTGGTATTTGGAAGAGGCCAGGGCCAGAGGTGCAAGGATGTCCATGTCTTTTGCACCTGCAGGCATGGCAGAGCCTTCTACTTGCGAATCAACAGCCTATCCTGACTCCAGGTTATCAGTTGGGGAATCCACTTCTTTCTCTTAATTCAAGTAGATGTTTCAATATTAACAGCATTTTCCGGCCAGAAGTATCAGCTAGTTTGGAGATGAGATTACTGAAGATCCCCCACCCTCCATCTTAGAGCACAGTTATGTTGTTGAAGGAGAGAGAGAACGAAGAGAAATGAATAAAGGTCTTTGGGCCAGAGATTTCTAATTTCATGGCAAAATAATACATTTTAAGGTGTTCTTTTACTTATGTCTTACAAGCAAACAAATGACCTTATTTAGTGAAGTGCATAATATAAATATCATATTGAATGGTACACATTATGATTTTGTTTTCCAATGCCCACTAACACTGTTTTCCCAAAACTGACCAAAACAGAATGTCTGGGAGTTATCAGTTAGAGAAAATGTATTTCCTGTGAGTTTAAGTTCCAGACAACAAAGTCTGAGAGCTTCGGTGAGCTAATAATTTGGATACAAATTACACAGAGTAAGTTGCAATCATTAAAACTTTTAATCACTTAAAAATATATTTAAAAGACTTCATTTTTTTTAGAATGGAAAGTAGCCCATTTTGTGCTTATCCCATATTTTCTTCAACCGTCCATCTTTATGTGAATATTCAGGTCACTTCATTTCTAGTTACTGTGCCTAATGCTTTATAAACTTAGGATGAAGATCTCTCTAGACCTAGAATTCCTATCCTTTGTATTTCTGGATGACTTGGTCATTCTGTTCATAGCTTCCTTGGGAACTTCTCTGAAAGCTGAACCATTTAATATTTCCTACAAACAGCATATAAGGGGTTTCTTCTCCCTACCTCCTCTCCAAACCCCATCATCTTTTGTTTGTTTGCTTTTGAGGTTATAGATATCACTGTAACTTATTTGAGATAATATTTTGTGAGTATGTTCTCCTATGCAAATACATGAGGTTGTATACATTAAATATGTTCAGGTTTTTATATGTCAATAATACCTCAATAAAATAGTTTAAAGAATAAAAACTAACACAAAGGTACAGTTAGGTTTTACCTTCAGGCATCAAGTCAGTAATCTATGTTTTTATTTTATTTGTAGAATCATTTTAAAAAGACTATTTCTACTTTAAGATTGCTTTTAATTTACAGAAAAGTAGCATGCATGAAACTCCCGTGTACCCTCAGTTTTCCAAATGTTAACTCTTTATATAACTAACCAAAGTATTTTTAAAAACAAAAGTTAGACTGGGGAGATAGTATGGAGAACTTTGTATGTGTGAAGTCCTGAGTTTCAATCTGGCATCATGTGGACCCACAGATATAGCACTCTACATGTATTCCTGGAGATCCCCAGAGTCAAATAAATAGGTCAAACTTTGAAGCATCAACCCTTTTGGGTCAATATTGCCAGGATTCCTGAGCATTTGCTTGGAATGTTCCTTTCCTACCAAAATAACAAAAAAACAAAACCCTAAAATATCATCCACCATATAGCTACACATACTGTAAAACACTGACAGTCTTCCCATTAATGCACGTTACTGTCCAAGAATCATACCAGAATGTCACACTGCATTTAGTGGCAGATTCTTTTGATAAACCAGTCCTGGGTATTTGCTGGCACAAAGAGTTTTCTGTGTATTTATATAAATAATTACGGAATTCTCTTCAAAAGCAGTATAGGAGTATTCATAAGATTGGTTGGTAACTTAATGTGATTTCATTTAGCAGGGTAATCCTAGGAAGAGCTTGAGATGAAAACTTTAAAAAAAATTTTCTTATTTTGTTTATTGGCTTTGGGAGTCACACCCAGTGATGCTTAAGGGTAACTCCTGGCTCTGTATTCAGGAATTACTCCTGGCAGTGCTCAGAGTACCATATGGGATGATGGGGATTGAACCCAGATTGACTGGGTACAAGTCAAATGCCCTATCTGCCCTATCCCTCCAGCCCCGAGATGGAAACTTTCATGAAAACAAAACAAAAAAAAAGAACGATCAATCTGATGGTGTTACTTTGAGCTATGCAGTGAGTTATAGGTCCACATAACACAGGATCAGGAATTCAAGGTAGCACTAAAGATCAATTCTTCCTTAAGCTGAGATTTCATGTTCCTGCCACAGAGCGAGCCACCCTGTGGGCAGCTCCTCACTCTCCAGTTGTGAGGAAGAGGAAGTGATCTCAGTTTAGCTGCCAAGAAAAACCAATGCACCTCAGCAATTGGAGATGCTCAACTGGAACTGTTGTGTACCATCCCCTCACAAGATAGGGGCAGGGGTGGAGGCTGGAGGGGGTGGGAGATGCAGTGGCTCAGATGTTTAATCCTGTTTGAGTAGCAGTCAGTTTCACTCACTTCTCTTAATAGTTTCAACTTCATGGACAGGAATTTGAACTTGGGGCAGGAGGGGAGACAGAGGTAGTAACTCCAGTTATGAGATGAACAGATGCATGATGTAATATTTTCATTTTAATTTTTGTATTTTAAAAATGTAAAGCACCGTGATTTACAAAGTTATTCATCATTGAGTTTCAGGCATACAGTGTTCCAACACCGATCCCATCACTAACGTCAGCTCCCCTCCACCAAAGTGGATGATGTAATTTTTAAAAATTTTTACTGGGATTGGCTTGTTTATTTCAAAAATCCATGGCCACATTTTATGGTATTAAATATATAGTAAGTATTACATCATATATGCGAATTACTCAGGTTTTAATTTACTCATATTTGCCTGAAGCAGGTAACACCATTTTAAAAAATATTTTTTAATCAATCACCATCATCCACAGTTACAAAGTTGTTCATGATTGAATTTCAGTCATGCAGTATTCTAGCACCCATCCCTTCAGCAAGCATATTTCCTACCACCAGTGTTCCCAGTTTTCCTCCCACCCATTTCTCTCACCCCAAAGGTAACACGGTATTATCATAAAAACTATGATTAGAAATTTAAAATCTGTTCAGCTCCATTCTCACAGGGAAAGGGTTTCTGTTAACTTAAAGTCTCTGGGACTCTATATCTGCTCTCTGCTTACTTTTCTGAGACCCGCATCCCCATCCCAGAATCACAGGCTTAACCCACCCAAACCAGCTGGCATTGCTCTTTTCCAGTCTCTCAACCACTCTTTTTTCTTTTGTTTGGCTATAACATGTAGAACACATGCATCTGGTCATAAATATCTGTGTCTCCCTGAAACTACACAGGAACTGTGTATAGATATGGAGACTAGAATTGAATGAGCTAAGCAGAGCTCAGGCAAAAGTCTGTAAACCCCTCCGGCCCCTGCTCTTACCAGTTGTTCTCTCTAAGCCTGGGTTTCCCAGATGAAACAGGATGAACAACTGGTTCTTTTTCCGGTAAATTAGAGTTTCCCTGAATCCTATGCTGAGCTGATGACTGCTTCGTGACTGCATGCATCTCTGAGTTGATGCTGGCACTGAGGCAACTGAAAGATCTCTTTACTTGTCTCCATCCACTGGATCGTTGAACTTCATGCAGCCTGCTGTCCAGCGCCATAGTATGGTAAGATCATTAGAGCCTCATCACTGAAGCTCTGTTGGAATGATGCCCTGGAATCTCTGGAATTGCCTCTTCTGAATGATTTGACCTCAGCACACATCATCTTCTCTGCTAGGGAAGATTGAACATCTGCAGGAAGCTGGACACTTTGAAGGAAGGGTTTATTCGCTAAGACCAACATCCCCTTCAGTGTAATGTATGTAAAACATTATGTCTAGGCAAAATAGGATCTCCCTACAGGTTTCTATGTATATAGAAGGATCATCATTTTTAAAGGATTAGTGACTTCAGTCCTCCAAAGTCTGATGTTATGATATTGGTTGAAATGGATTGGGTTTTATTTTTATCTAAAAGATACTTATTTAAATATTTCATATACTAGTAATTATTTCTTTGTGTTTAAATTATATGAAATTTCATAAACTTTGAAACCTTCTATGACTGGTTGTTTTAAACGTTTATTTAGATGGAGAACTAGTGCACAGCTCTCTTAGTGGATCAAACAAAGAAGATTTAAGACAACATGCTTTTCTGTAGTGAAAAGGGAGAGACTAATTTTCCCTGAGGTTAAGTCATTGAATGGAATAATATCAGGTATAAAAATTTTAAAAAAGTGTTACTTTTCCAGAAAGTAGCAGATAGGCATTTTGAAAATGTGTATGTTTAACAGCTAGCATTGATTTTTGATAAGTTAAGAAAAAGTCACCAGGGGCTGGAGCAATAGCACAGCAGGTAGGGCGTTTTGCACACGGCTGACCCAGGTTCGATTCCCAGCATCCCATATGGTCCCCTGAGTACTTCCAGGAGAAATTCCTGAGTGCAGAGCCAGGAGTAATCCCTGAGCATCGTCGGGTATGACCCCAAAAAAGAAAAAAAAGAAGAAAAGGTGACCAACACATGATTGTTTTAACTGTGAAGCTCCAGTCAACTGAGATAGAAGGTATCAGGGGTCCTAATCAGTGGTCTCTAGGTGGGAGAAAAACCCCTAGGTGGATAACAATCTTGTTGACAAGAATTTCACTGTATTCACACACAAGTTTTGTTCACAGTCATTTTGGTTTCAAAAGTGTTTCCGTCAGGTATTGATTTTCAAGTTCCCCCGAAGTTGAACAATCACATTCATGTTATATTCAGCTGCCAGTATGGGCAGCACATGCAAATAAGGCTGGAAGTGGTTAGTATAACCTTAGCTCTCCTCTACCAAAAGCAGACATGCAACTTTGCCTCTCTCTGAATGTGAGGACATGGCCCGTAAAAGGAGGTGGGGTAAAGGGGGAGAAGAATTTGTGATGATGGTGCCAGACCCATAAGGATTCAGC